GTGGCTGCTGTCATCATCAACGTCTGATGGTGGTGTTGTTATATTATGATCATGGTCTGGTGTTGTGTTGTTATCATCATCATCAACGTCTGATGGTGTTGTTATGTTGTGTTGTTATCATCATAATCAACGTCTGATGGTGGTGTTGTTATGTTGTGATCATCAAGGTCTGGTGGTGATGTTATCATCATCAACGTCTGATGTTGTTGTGGCTGCTGTCATCATCATCATCAACGTCTGGTGCAAGTGTTACAGTGAGGGAAAAAAGTATTTGATCCCCTGCTGATTTTGTACGTTTGCCCACTGACAAAGAAATGATCAGTCTATAATTTTAATGGTAGGTTTATTTGAACAGTGAGAGACAGAATAACAACAACAAAATCCAGAAAAACGCATGTCAAAAATGTTATAAATTGATTTGCATTTTAATGAGGGAAATAAGTATTTGACCCCCTCTCAATCAGAAAGATTTCTGGCTCCCCGGTGTCTTTTATACAGGTAACGAGCTGAGATTAGGAGCACACTCTTAAAGGGAGTGCTCCTAATCTCAGCTTATTACCTGTATAAAGACACCTGTTCACAGAATAAATCAATCAGATTCCAAACTCTCCACCATGGCCAAGACCAAAGAGCTCTCCAAGGATGTCAGGGACAAGATTGTAGACCTACACAAGGCTGGGATGGGCTACAAGACCATCGCCAAGCAGCTTGGTGAGAAGGTGACAACAGTTGGTGCGATTATTCGCAAATGGAAGAAACACAAAGGAACTGTCAATCTCCCTCGGCATGGGGCTCCATGCAAGATCTCACCTCGTGGAGTTGCAATGATCATGAGAACGGTGAGGAATCAGCCCAGAACTACACGGGAGGGTCTTGTCAATGATCTCAAGGCAGCTGGGACCATAGTCACCAAGAAAACAGTTGGTGACGCACTACGCCGTGAAGGACTGAAATCCTGCAGTGCCCGCAAGGGCCCCATGCTCAAGAAAGCACATATACATGCCCGTCTGAAGTTTGCCAATGAACATCTGAATGATTCAGAGGACAACTGGGTGAAAGTGTTGTGATCAGATGAGACCAATATGGAGCTCTTTGGCATCAACCCAACTCGCCGTGTTTGGAGGAGGAGGAATGCTGCCTATGACCCCAAGGACACCATCCCCACCGTCAAACATGGAGGTGGAAACATTATGCTTTGGGGGTGTTTTTCTGCTAAGGGGACAGGACAACTTCACCGCATCAAAGGGACGATGTATGGGGCCATGTACCGTCAAATCTTGGGTGAGAACCTCCTTCCCTCAGCCAGGGCATTGAAAATGGGTCGTGGATGGGTATTCCAGCATGACGATGACCCAAAACACACGGCCAAGGCAACAAAGGAGTGGCTCAAGAAGAAGCACATGAAGGTCCTGGAGTGGCCTAGCCAGTCTCCAGACCTTAATCCCATAGAAAATATGTGGAGGGAGCTGAAGGTTCGAGTTGCCAAACGTCAGCCTCGAACCCTTAATGACTTGGAGAAGATCTGCAAAGAGGAGTGGGACAAAATCCCTCCTGAGATGTGTGAAAACCTGGTAGCCAACTACAAGCAACGTCTGACCTCTGATTGCCAACAAGAGTTTTGCCACCAAGTACTAAGTCATGTTTTGCAGAGGGGTCAAATACTTATTTCCCTCATTAAAATGCAAATCAATTTATAACATTTTTGACATGCGTTTTTCTGGATTTTGTTGTTGTTATTCTGTCTCTCACTGTTCAAATAAACCTACCATTAAAATTATAGACTGATCATTTCTTTGTCAGTGGGCAAATGTACAAAATCAGCAGGGGATCAAATACTTTTTTCCCTCACTGTATGTTATCATCATTGACGTCTGATGGTGTTGTATTGTTATCATCATCTTTATCATCTTTATCATCATCATCAGTATCATCATTATCATCAGAGCCATGTTTGCATGTTTAGCTGCAAGTACTCTGCATGGTGACTGCAGTACTTGATGTCTGCAGTCATTACTTGGGCGATTGTCTCCTCCAGAAATCGTCTAAGCAATCAGCCGCACGCACGACCAAGTCCCTCGCACCGTGTTCCTTCATTGGCGAGCGTACAACATGAATGTATCCATAACTAGCGGGGAGTACCCGGCGTTGCCAGGGCGAAAAAAACACACACATCGACTTACACATATACATCGACTTATACACACACAGACATCGACCCACACGCACACACAGACATCGACTTACACACACAGACATCGACCCACACGCACACACAGACATCGACTTACACACACAGACATCGACCCACACACACACACATCGACTTACACACACACACATCGACTTACACACACAACATCGACCCACACACAGACATCGACTTACACACACACACAGACATCGACCCACACACACATGGACTCACACACACATACATAGACTCACACACACATGGACCTACACGCACATATGCACTTACACACATGGACTTACACACACACATCGACTTACGCACACAGACATCGACCCACACACACACACGCACATGGACCTACACGCACGCACAGACATCGACTTACACACACACACATCGACTTACGCACACAGACATCGACCCACACACACATGGACTCACACACGCACATGGACCTACACGCACACATGGACTTACACACACACACATCGACTAATACACACACACACATCGACTTACACACACACATTTGAACTTTTCTATTTACTAACTCAGTTTTTAAAGATTAGTTTTCTATGTACGTCATGTTAAGGAGAGAACCAAGGAAGAGGGAAAATGCAAACAATTGTGAATGCACCTTTGAGGATTGGCGCACTAAAGGTTATACTTCACTTGTATGATAACGCCTTGGTCTTGTATTGAATGTTACGAGTCATAACTAATTGGTTGATCTTCTTGGTTCTTTCGGTAAAGTCACGTAGAAGGGAAGTAATAAAATAATAAAATAAAACATAATTAAATAATTCTCACGACGTTTCGGTCACAACGCAAGCAGCCGTCCTCAGACTCTGTCTACTTGACAGACCTGTTCTCCACCTGAGGACGGCTGCTTGCGTTGTGGCCGAAACGTCAGTGAGAATGATTTTATTATGTTTTATTTTTATTATTTTATTATTTCCCTTCTACGTGACTTTACCGAAAGAACCAAGAAGATGAATCCCTGCAGTCACGAAAGAAGCTTTAAATCGAAATTTTATTGGTTGATCGTAAAAAAAAGACGTAAGTCTTTATTTCTGTTTGGGCCGCACACACAGACAGATAATGACATTTATAGGTTAGAGAATATATCCATAACACAGGCCTCGGAAGCCTATGTGTTAAACCCTTAATTAATTGTATCTCTTAAATGTGGACGTTTAGATGTGTATATATCTATATATATTTTTTACGGGGTAAAACTGCAATCATGTTACACCGTTAAATATACGACACGGCTCTCGTAGATTTTACGAACGATGGCAAGGTGGCTGGACCGGGGCAATACCTCGGTGGAAATGATTTACAGAGCCGGACGAATTTCGATTGCAGAAGGCGCGATTGCGAGCCGTCAAATGCAATATCTCGACACTCGGACTTCCCGGGTGAAATCGATATCCGCACGCAAACGGAGCGCGAATCGCGAGCGACGTGACGGTCCCGCGGAGTTACGCTGACGCGAGTGACGACGCCTGCTGCTGCTGTAGATTTGGAGTCTCGCTATCTCGGCGTGTGGTCGCGTGGATTTCTCTCCGGGCCCTCCGGTTTTTCACTCCGCATTTGGAATCGACGCCACGGCGCTTGTGGAGTATTTGGCCGCTGCTGTAAATTTCCACTCGACGACGACGACGACGAGAAGCCGCTTGGTCGAGCTGCCGTCTGTGACGGCCAGGGTCGCTTCTGAAAAAATATCTACGTAGCAGCTCTTACGCCTGTTGAAACGAAAGGAACTAGTCGGTGAGTTTACCGTTCAGCAGCTTGGCGTTTGTGGGGCCTCGTGTTGCGCGATCAGTCAGGTGGGCGGCGTGCAAAGCTCAGCGGAGGTGCGACAGCGATGGATCCCGAGCCTTAGGGGAGCCCACTCTCCCCCCCACTACACCACCCCCGCCCTACCGTCGAACGCTCGTGAATGGACGATGCCCGGCCGCGGTCGGCCGACCACGCCGAGGACGTCTGGAGCGGCCCGCGGGCGGATTTGGGCAACGGCGGCGACTCTCCGGCGCGGCCTCGGGGCATGGCGGAGCTCGGAGCGGCCCGTCGCGTAGTGGCGGAGGAGGAGGAGGAGAGGTCCCGTCGCCCGCTCGGCTCGGAGGGCCGAGTGATCAGCGACCACCGACGCCGCGGTGCCGTCGACGGCGACGACGACGACGGGGAGAGTCGTGAGTTTCGCGAGGAGGAACGGGGAGGAGGAGGAGGAGCGGAGGAGGCTGGCGGTGACGCTGGCATCGGCGCCACCGCCGGGCAGCGTCAGAGCCGGGCCGACTCGTCGCACGCTCGGGCGGCGGGGAACTCCGGCGGTGTGGCAAGGCCGCCTGCGGCCGCGGTCAACCCTCGCGCGGAGGAGGAGGAGGGCGACGACGACGACGAGGCCGGCGGGAAACTTCGCGAGTGCGAGGCCCCCTCCCGACACAAGGGGCCGAGCGTCGAGACCGGCGACGGGCCCTCGGCGGCGAACGCGGCGGCCTCCTCCGCCGACGTCGTCGGGAACGGCGGAGGAGGCCGCTGGGTGGCAGGGGCCGCGAGTCCGACGGCCCGGCCCGCCCCCCAAGCCGAGGGCGCCGCCCGCGGCGACGCGGAGAGTCGCGAGGCGGCCGAGGTCGATTGTTCCTGGGGCGGTTATGGCGGCGGCGGCGACGACTCCTCCGCTGAAAGAGGGCGGCCCGGGAGGGACTCGGGTCGCGAGTTGAAGGGAGACCCCGGCGCCGAAAGGGACTTGCCCCGGACTGCCGTTGACCTCGCCGCAGCCGCCGTCGACGGACCGGCGGAAGAGGCCGCCGTTGACAGCGACACGGCACGGGGTGGTGGCGGGCGGCCGATGTGCAGAGCCGGAGGCGCCCTTGGGTAGCTCCTCCTCCTCCACCTCCTCCACTTCCTCCGCCTCCTCCGCCATCGTCAAGCGCAAGTCGTCACCGATGGAGGGGCTCTCCGGCCTCGCCAAGCGCTCCAGAGTCGCGGATTGGTGGGAGCCGACATTGGGTGAGTCCTGATATATTTTCAGAAAGGATTTTTTGTTTGTTTGTTTTGGGTTCGATTCGCGTAAATGTGAACTGATTGGATATTGTTACTGATTGGACATTGCACCTGTTTAGACATTGAACCTGTTTGGATATTGAACCTGATTGGACATTGCACCTCAGTGGGCCGCACTAGAGGCCTCTTGACCGTTTCGCACGTCACTCCGCAACACCACCCTGTCCCCTCCTAAGGAGAAGCCGGCAAACCCACGGGGGCACCGACCCACGGCGGCAGCGGTAACCCCATCCGGAGCGGCGGGGCGCCATCTCCAGCCGGCGGCGGGGACGGCGGGGACGGCGGCGGCACCGTCGGTGGGGACGGGCACCGCCAGGGGGAGCCGGATGCGAGCGACGCGACGGAGGGGAACGGGGAGCCGCTACGTCTCCGCGAGCCGGGCGCCGGCGCTGCCGTCGATGCCTCGGGGCGCCAGCCCCACCCCACGCGGGAGGACGACGATGACGACGATGACGGTGACGACGAGCAGCGTGATGGGAACATCGAAGGGAGACAGAAAGCCGGTGGTGGTGGTGGTGGCGGTGGGGGTGGTGGTGATGGCAGTGAGGGTGGGGGCGGCCTCTGGGTGGGGGGCTCCCGCGTGACGCTGCAGTGGCTGCCCCATTTGCAAGAGGCCCAATGGGTGGACGGCGCTGGGGTGGACGGCGCTGGCGAGGAGCCTGGGGCTGCTCGTGACGGTGAGGAGCTGACCGCTCTCTGTGGAATCGTTTTGTTCCACCCAGACCCACAGACACCCAGACCCACGGAGACCCACAGATGAGCACGGTTGGCTACGTACGGTGCAAACGAAGTTCAACATCACACACATATTCATAATATAGGTTTTTGGGTTTAGATCGCGTTATTTATAAATGTGTCGTAACCCTCCACCACCCGTCGTCGTCGTTGTCACAGCCGCGAGTTCCGCGCTGCCCGCGGTTCGCTTCCGGCCGCTGGGAATCAAGACGGAGAACGGCGACGACGGAATGGACGGCACCCGCGGGGTTTGCCGCGGCAACTCCGCCAGCAGCACCGGTGGCACCGGCGCCGGTGAGTGTCTCCCCCCCCCCACCCCTCCCACGACTCCGACGCCGTCATTCCATCGACGTCGTCAGGTTTCGAATAGAGTCGCCGTCAGCGTCGCACGAATCGCCCGCGCCTGTGTCAGGGCGTCTGTGTGTGCCACAGTGTGCCGGCCTTCGTGGATGCTCGCTAACAGCACTTGCCTCGGCAGTGTTTGCAGGCTATACGGGGGATCTTTGTCTTGTCCTGATGTGGGGAGCGGCGGTGCGGCGGTTAGCGCTACGAACCCGGCGACCCGAGTTCGATTCCCGCTCACAGCCAACGCCGGTGACGATTCTCTGTACCGGTCCCTGGGCCTCCCCTTGGTTGACTCAGCCTCAAATGACACCTGGTGCGGTGTGTAGTGAACATCGCCACTGGGGGAGGCAAAGGTGGCCAGGCGTGGTCCTTTGACACCACCACCAGGCAATCACGCTAATATGTGGGTCTCTGTGGGTGTCTCTATGGGTGTCTTTGGGTCTCTACGTGTGTGTACGTTGAACTACTTTGACACCACCAGTACGTAGGCAATCACGCTAATATGTGGGTCTCTGTGGGTGTCTCTATGGGTCTGGGTGTCTGTGGGTCTCTGTGGGTGTCTCTATGGGTGTCTGTGTGTCTCTACGTGTGTGTACGTTGAACTACTTTGACACCACCAGTACGTAGGCAATCGCGCTAATCTGTGGGTCTCTGCGGGTGTCTGTCTTGTGGTCTGTGGGTCTGTGTACAAATATTAAACTTTTTATGCACCGTACGTAACCGACCTCGCTAATCTGAGCTGCGTCAATCCCCAGCAGCGATCGTGGAGGAGGAGGATGCCGCTGGGCTCGTCGTCGTCACCACCACTTCTACCTCCTCCACCTCCTCCACCTCCTCCACCTCCTCCACTGTCGTCACCACCTCCTCCACTGTCGTCACCATTGTCGACGTCAAGGAGGAACGGCGTGAGGATGAATATGAGGAGGCGCCACTCGCCGGGGCCGCCATGAAGCAGGAGGACGACGACGACGACGCCGGTGAGGACTGGGAGATCGCGTTTTTAATTACATCCGCGTGATTATTTTTTTTATTTTTGCTAATTATTATTTTATATAATTTTTTATTATTGCTGTACTATTGAAGTATTATTGGCAATGACATTTTTTTTGCTAATATACATTTTTCATGTATTGTAGCATTTTATTTTAATATGTCTATATATTGCAACAATATATTTCGATTTAAAGCTTTCGTGACTGCAGGGATTCATCTTCTTGGTTCTTTCGGTAAAGTCACGTAGAAGGGAAATAATAAAATAATACTCACGACGTTTCGGCCACAACACAAGCAGCCGTCCTCAGGTGAAGAACAGGTTTGTCGGGAAGACAGCGTCTTCATTCAGACGCTGTCTTCCCGACAGACCTGTTCTTCGAAACGTCGTGACCTCCTGCACACCAGGCGAGGTAGTCAACATCTCCTAGCCACCGTGATGATGATGAGAGACGCAGACTCCAAATATACAGCAGCAGACATCGTCAGGGTCGGGATCAAACTCACGACCTCCTGAATACCAGGCGAGGTAGTTAACATCTCTTAGCCACCGTGATGATGATGAGAGACGCAGACTCCAAATATACAGCAGCAGGCATCGTCAGGGTCGGGATGGAACCCACGAGCTCCTGTGTACCAGGCGAGGTAGTCAACATCTCCTAGCCACCAGTGGCCGCTTGTCCATCTTCCATCTGTTGGCCATCCAAGTCCATCAGAGCCACTGACACCGATGCCAACCTCGCTGTCGCTTTCAGATCTGTCGCGTCGCGATTCCCATTTGCTGTTCATCAAACAAGAACCCGTGGTTGAGGAGGAGGAGGCAGAGGAGGTGCGAGACTCCGACAGTGGGAGGGGGTCACAGCTGGAAGTCACCTCTGGTGAAGGTAAATAAAGTGACGTCGCTTCCATCGCATCTCGCGAAAGAAATGCCCCGTTAAGAAACAGTTAAGTACGTACGTACGTACGCACGTAGGACTTCCCGCACCGTGACGCAGCCAACCGTCCCACAGGCCCGGGGAGAGAGCCGTCCGAGCACGCCGGTCGCTCAGCGGGGCGCCGAGACTGCGACGGGGAGGAGGGGGAGGGTGAAAACTTGCCAATGTTCATGGAGGTGGAGGTGTGGCTGGATTACCCTGATGAAGGTGAGGATGTGTGTGTGTGTGGGTAGCGGGAGTGTAGCGGTTAGCGCTATGCTGCGCTACGAACTTGGCGACCCGGGTTCGATTCCCGCTCACGGCCAACACCGGTGACGATTATCTGAACCGGTCCTGGGCCTCCCCTCGGCCTGAAACGAGTACCTGGTGCGGTGTGTAGTAAACATCGCCACTTGGGAGGCAAAGGCGGCCGGGCGTGGTGTTGGCCACCCACCCCCTCGTGTGCCGTGCCGGCCTTGATAGTGCTCGCTAATAGCACTTGCCCCTACAGCCTGCGCAAGCTATACGGGGGATCTTTGTTTTTGTTTGTTGAACTTCCTTGGCACCGTACGTAGCCGACCAATCGGAGGTGCGGGGGGGGAAGGACGACAAACCAAACACACGGAAAGCAGTAGTCCGGTAACCCTGCGTTGCCCGTCAAATCACGTTAACGCTTGTGATAGCGCGCTTTTAATCGCGAACATACGCACGCACGCCTTCTTGCCACCGACATATCCCGAGCACAGCGCAGTGCCCTGCGGGTTTCCCTCCGTGGCAATAATTGGAACCGGTTACTTTCTCCCCCCTCCCTCTCTGCCCACACCCCACTCCAGAGTGCCTGGCAGGCGGCACGCGGGCGGCGGTGCCCGACGAGCCCAACGATGGCACGGAGAGCGGCGACGATGGCGAAGCGGAGCCGTCGGGCCACACAGGCGACCAGTCGCCACGCCGGGGTGGGCCGGGACGGGCCGCTCGCCGCCGCCGGGGCCGGCTTGCGGGCCTGCGGACGAGCGGGCGCGGGAAGGGGGGAAGGATCCGCCGCGGCCGGCGGGCTGCCCGGGGGACGCGACACGGGCGATGGGCGGCACGCCGAGACTTCCCCAGACGACGCGGGAACGAGGCGGTGCCGAGAAACTTTACCGGCGACCCTCAGCGAGGCGCCGAGTCCCCCTGAAGCGGCCGAGCCTGCGCCGCTCCGAGCGTGCCGAGGGCTCGTCCGGCGGCGGCGGCCGGGAGCTGTGGGGGCTCTTAGAGAAACGCACGACCGCGGTGCGGGGCCTCCCGGGAGCGCCGGAGCCGCGATCCTCACCCTCCGCGGCGGCGACGACGACGACTGCCGGAACCGCGGGCGAAGCGCCTCGGGTGCGACACGTGCCGCAAGATGTTCGTGAACAACGCGGGCCTGCAGATGCACCGCAAGATGCACGCGCGAGACCGGCGGAAGCGGCGGGCCGGCCCCGCGGGGCCGGGCGGCGGGCCGCGCGCTCCGACGGCGGCCGGGCGCCGGGAGGAAGGGGTCGGCGACCGGGGGAAGGGGGGGGGGCGGCCGACGGGGGCGCCCTCTGCGTCGACCGTCGGGACCCGCGTCGCGCGGGATTGGCGGTACGAGTGCGGCGCGTGCGGCAAGGCGTTCGCGAGCGAGAGGGGCTTTCGGATCCACCGTAAGAGGCACGCGCGGCTCGCGCAGATGCACGACGCCCGGCTGAAGAGGTGGCCGCGGCCTCGGCCGGGCGCGGGGGAGACGGCGCTCGCGTGGGGAGCTGGAGAGGAGCGAGGCCCCGGGGAGCCTTCGGCAGGGGCGCGAGGCCGGCAGCGGGCGTCCGACGGTCTACCCTGACGGCCCGCGGCCCGACGCGCGGGACGGGACGGGGACGAGCCAGAGCAGCCGCTGGGTTTTCGACCGCGCGGGGCCGCCGGCGTTTCGGACCAACCGCCGGTGGAAGGCGCCGGGTCGGCAAGTCCGGCGACCCCCCGTCGCGCCCCACGCGGACGGGCAGCGCATCTGCAAGGAGTGCGGGGAGGAGCTCGGCGATGACGAGAGCCTGCGGGTGCCACCGCTGCGAGCAGCCGAGCGACGAGGGCGGCTCGGGTCGGGAGAGCCGGCGGGGGCAGGAGGAGCAGGGGGCCAGGTACACGTGCGACCGGTGCGGCGCGGAGTGCGTGAACGGGCGAGGGCTGAGCATCCATTACAGCAAGCACCTGAGGGAGGAGGCGTGGAGCTACCGCTCGGCGCACTCGCTGCCGAGCCCCCTGCTGAACCTGCGGCCCGTGGGCGACTTGGATCTCTGGATCGGCCGGCACGGGTGCGAGGAGTGTGGGAAGAGCTGCTCCAACAAAGCGGGCCTGCAGTCGCATCGCAAAACGCACGCCAGGAAGGCCGCGGAGAGCGGGGGTGGGGCGGACTGTGGGCGGACTGTGGGGCGGAGACGAGCCAGCGAGAACGCACGGAAGTGCCGGTCGCCGGCGAGAGTCCTGGGGAGGATGAGGAACGCGAGCTCGAAGGCCGGGGCGACGGGCCCGACGGCGGACGCGCGGCGGACGCGCGTCGCTACGGAGGCGAGGGTGAGGCGCCACGGAGCCGGCCCGGCTCGCAGGAGAACCCGCGGGGTGTCCGGCGGGACTGCGACGAGTCCGGCAAGGAGTCCGAGCCGAGCCGCGCACCGTCGAACGTGCGACGGTTTCGGTGCGAGGAGTGCGGCAGAGGGTTCAACGGGCGTCACGGGCTTCAAGTTCACCGTTACAAACACGCCAGGGACGCGCAAAGTCAGCTCGGTGAGGAGCCGGTGTCCGGCCGCGCGCAGACCCCCCCGAAGGCCGAGTTACGGGAGAACCACCGGGGGAGCCAGTGCAGGTGTGACGAGTGCGGCAAGGAGTTCGATTCAAGCCGCGCGCTCAACGTGCACCGCTTCAAGCACACGAGGGACTCGGAGAGGCGGCTCGCTCCGGAACCGTCGGCGAGCCACCAAGGGGTGCCGCAGGCACGGGAGGGGAGCCAGTACGAATGCGACGAGTGCGGGAAGGATTTTGACACCATTCACGGGCTGCACGTGCATCTTAGCAAACACTCGAGAGAGGCGCAGAGCCAGCTTCCGCAGGACACGGCGGGCGCTGTCGCCATGGGCAGCGGCCTCCCGAACGTGCAGGCGAACCCAGCGAAGGGCCAGTACGGGTGCGGAGAGTGCGGCCACGAATTCGACACCGAAAAAGGCCGGCAGGTGCATCGTCACAAACACTTCACGGGGGCGGAGGGTCGGCCCGTCGAGGAACCGACGGCGAAATGCCTCAAAGGCACGCCGCAGCCCGAGCTGCAGAGCGGCCATCGGGGGGGAGGAGGCCAGCACGCGTGCGAAGAGTGCGGCAAAGGGTTCGGCTCGAGCCACGCGAAGAACATCCACCGCTTCAAGCACAAGCGGGAGGCGCAGAGCCAGAACGTGGAAAAACCACCGTCGAACCGCCTCGACACTTCGCCGCAGCCCGAACCTCGAGAGAGCGTCGGGAAGACGTTGCACACGTGCGAAGAGTGCGGCAAGGGGTTCGGCTCGAGCCACGCCAAGAACATCCACCGCTTCAAGCACAAGAGGGAGGCGCAGAGCCAGAACGCTGAACAAGCGCAATCAAGCCACCTCGACGCTTCGCGGCGCGAACCCCGAGGGAACGTCGAGAGGATCCAGTACCGGTGCGAGGAGTGCGGCAGAGGGTTTGACGGGCGTCACGGGCTGCAAGTCCACCGTTACAAACACGCCAGGGAGGCGCAAGGTCAGCTCAGTGAGGAGCCGGTGTCCGGCTGCGCGCAGACCCCCCCAAAGGCCGAGTTACTTGAGAACCACCGTGGGAGTCAGTGCAGGTGTGACGTGTGCGGCAAGGAGTTCGAGTCGAGCCGCGCGCTCAACGTGCACCGCTTCAAGCACACGAGGGATTCGGAGAGGCGGCTCGTTCAAGAACCCACGGTGGGTTGCCCAAAAAGCTCACCGCGTGAGTCGCAGCAAGAGCTTCCGGAGACGAGCCTGCATCGCTGCGAAGAGTGCGGCAAGGGCTTTGCCACCAGTCACGCGAAGAACATCCACCGCTTCAAGCACAAGCGGGAGGCGCAGAGCCAGCTAGCCGAGCAGCCGCCGGCAAATCACCGGGACGTTCCACGGCTCCAACCGCGAGAAGGGGACTTGGATGAGAAGACGCTGCACGAGTGCGAAGAGTGCGGCAAGGGATTTGCCACCAGCCGCGCGAGGAATATCCACCGCTTCATGCACACGAGGGATTCGCAGAAGCAGCTCGTACAGGAACCAACGGCGGATTACCGAAACGTACCACAGCCCGAATCGCAAGAGCGTCCGGAGACGGGCCAGTTCAGGTGTGAGGAGTGCGGCAAGGGGTTTGCCACCAGTCACGCGAAGAACGTCCACCGCTTCAAGCACAGGCGGGAGGCGGAGAGCCAGCTCGCTGAACGGTTGTCGTCTAATCACTCGGAAATCTCGCAGCCTAAAGCACTGGAGAATCTGCAGGAGGAGAGCCGGCACAGATGCGACGAGTGTGGAAAGGAATTTGATGGCGTTCGGGACCTGCAGGTGCATCGTTACAGTCACGCAAAAGAGGCGCAGAAGCGGGTTGCTGACGGGCACATTTCGAATCGTCCAGGCAGCTCGTCACGGCCTGACACGCAGCAGAGTTGGCACGAAAGCCAACACGTTTGCAAAGAGTGCGGCGAGGAGTTTGACTTCGTGCGAGACCTGCAAGTACACATTTATAAGCATGCAAGGGAGAGGCAGATCCTACTTAATGAGAGGCCAATCTCAAAACACGTCGAAAGGGCAGTGTCTGAAGTTCAACAAAGCTCGGGGAAGACCCAGTACAACCGTGAGGAGCATGGGGAAGAGCTTAACACCAATCGTGGGCCGAGTGCACATTTTACCAAACGCATGGGAGAGGCGGAGTATCAACCTCCCCAGAATCCAGCATTTGTTACCATCGACGGCGCTCCGTCTAAAGCGGCAAAGAGCTCGCTGCATGGGCAGCAGGAGGGCCTGCACCGGTGCGAAGAGTGCGGCAAGGGGTTTGCGACCAGTCACGCCAAGAACATCCACCGCTTCAAGCACAAGCGAGAGGCTCAGAGCCAACTAGCCGAGCAGCCGCCGGCAAATCACCGGGACGTTCCTCGGCTCCAACCGCGAGAAGGGGACTTGGATGAGAAGACGCTGCACGAGTGCGAAGAGTGCGGCAAGGGATTTGCCACCAGCCGCGCGATGAATATCCACCGCTTCATGCACACGAGGGATTCGCAGAAGCAGCTCGTACAGGAACCAACGTCGAACTTCCAAAACGTACCACAGCACGAATCGCAAGAGCGTCCTGGAGATGGGCCAGTACAGGTGTGAGGAGTGCGGCAAGGGGTTCAACTCGAGTCGTGGGCTGCAGGTACATCGTTTCAAGCACACGAGAGAGGGAGAGGGCCAACTCGTTCAGCAACCGATATTTATTCACCTCGAGAGCTCATCAGAACCTGAAGAGCAGATGAGCGAGCAGGGAAGCCAGTACATGGAGTAGCGGACAGGAACTTAACATGATTCAAGGTCCGGGAGTGCATTTGTATAAGCAGGAAAGAGAGGCATATCACAAGCTGGGCGAAAGGCCGATTTCGAAGGGTTCAAAAAGGTCACCGTCTGATGTGCAAGAAACCGCTGAGACGAGCCTGCACCACTGCGAAGAGTGCGGCAAGGGGTTTGCCACCAGTCACTGCCAAGAACATCCACCGCTTCAAGCACAAGCGGGAGGCGCAGAGCCAGCTAGCCGAGCAGCCGCCGGCAAATCACCGGGACGTTCCGCAGCTCCAACCGCGAGAAGGGGACGTCGATGAGAAGACGCTGCACGAGTGCGAAGAGTGTGGCAAGGGATTTGCCACCAGCCGCGCGATGAATATCCACCGCTTCAAGCACACGAGGGATTCGCAGAAGCAGCTCGTACAGGAACCGACGGCGAACTACCAAAACGTACCACAGCCAGAATCGCAAGAGCGTCCGGAGCTGAGCCAGTACAGGTGTGAAAAGTGCGGCAAAGGGTTCAACTCGAGTCGTGGGCTGCAGGTACATCGTTTCAAGCACACGAGAGAGGGAGAGGGTCAACTCGTTCAGCAGCCGATATTTATTCACCTCGAGAGTTCCTCAGAACCTGAAGAGCAGAAGAGCGAGCAGGGGAGCCAGTACGTGGAGTACGCACAGGAATTTGATAATATTCAAAGCCAATATAAGCATGAGAGAGAGGCATATCGCAACCTTAGCGAGAAGCCGATTTCGAAGGACTCGCAAAGATCTCTGTCGGAAGTTCAACAAGTTCCTGAGAAGCGCCTGTACCGGTGTGAAGAGTGCGGGAAGGAATTTGGTACCAGAAAAGGCCATGAGGTGCATCAGTTGAAACACACCAAAGATGCACAGGGCCATCGTGTTGAGTTGCAATTTCAAGTCGCCCAGAACCTTCGCCATCCAACGCGCAAAAGAACCCAGAACAGAACCGGCACCAGTGCGGAGAGTGTGGGAAAGAGTTCGGCACCTTTCGTGGGCTCAGTATACATTTTAGTAGTCACAGTATGGAGGCACAGAACCGCCTTCACAGAAGCAAGCGGCCGCTGGCGCAGAAGACTCGCTGCCCCTGGCGCAGAATAGCCTGGAGAAGATCCAGCACGGATGCGAAGAGTGCGGGAAGGCGTTTGACAGCTACAGGGGCCTTCAAGTGCATTACTTTAAGCACATCAGAGAAGCGGAGGACCAGCTCAACGAGGAGTCCGATGTCAAAACGCCACAAGGCCGCCACGCAGCCCGAAGTAATGGAGGTCGTCGATCAGGAGAGCCAGCACAGGTGCGAAGAGTGCGGGAAGGAATTCGGTAACTATCTGGGCTTGCAAATACATCGAAGCAAGCATGCGAAAGAGGTGCAGAGGCATCTCCATCAGCGGACGCTCGCCGAACACTTTGAAAGCTGGCAGGCGAATGCGCAAGACGACGCACGGATGAGCGACCGCAAAGAGTGCGGGAAGGAATTTGACACCGTTCGAGACCTGCAGATGCATCGTTACAACCACGCACATGGCCCCATCACGCAGCATCGCTTGCAGAGCGGTGCACCGCTCAGCTTGCACGCCGCCAACCCGGTGGCGATGCTGTACGCGTGCAAAAAGTGCGGCATCGTGTTTCCGAATGAGCAAGGCCTGCAGTTGCACCAGAAGAAGCACGTGGCAGACGCGGAGGCAGCGAGCGGCCACCGAACGGGGGATTGAGAAGATTTTGGGGGAAGTCCAGAGGCTGGCAGTGTGGTGGTAGAGTGTTATCTGAGACACACCCTTTGAGGTGGAGGAAATGATTGGCTGGGCGCAGGCAAAGGTTGGAGAATAGGGGGTCGGCGTGTTCCAGTGAAATGTAATGAAGCGTTTCACTGAATGCTCATCCGGAAGTGGTGTTCGTTTAAGTGACCGCGCACTAAGCGATGGCATTCTTGGTTCGCTTATAACCTTAGTAGCTTCGTCTTTGTTCGTCATCACAGCCTCAAAGCATTTACTGTAATTGTTCCCAATTAGAGTATTTAGTAAGCATTTGGGGAAACTAGCTGTAAAGACATGCGACGAGACGCGTTTCCCTACGAGTGCCCATCGGTGTGTAATAACGACTAGCTGTGGGAGCGGTTCTCTTGCGAAGAGGTGGTGGGCACTTTTTGTCACCATCGCCAACAAAAATGGCCACCGTAGCACATTACCTGGCTATGGGACCATCCTCAAGGCCTTGTTTGCAAATGAACTAGAGCCACACGTTGGGAGAAGACTTCGAGGCAAACTCGTGTCTGGTAAGCACTTCAAATGGGCAGGGTTTTGGAGCCTTTTGGAAGCCTGCATGCCCAATGGAAGGAGAGTGAGAATGATGCAGTTAGTTTTCTAGGCCTTGTGCAAGCCCAGCGGTGATGTGTGGCTCACTTTGTTTGAATCTTAACAGCAAATTCTCCGTTGAGAGCCACTTGACAGGAGAGAGGGCATTTTGGTTGTGGGCACTTACAAGCTCGCGACTTTGCTGCGTTGCCGGCAACGATTTGCATCGCGCCCGCGCGCGCTACGGTTCGGTCACCTGTGCAAGATAACCGCGGTGTGGCAAAGCACGAGTTGGTACGGTACAAAGAATGAGACGTCGTCGCATCTCGGTACGCTCCCGCAGCAGGGTTGGAGCGGACGACCTTTGCGTGCCCGACATCGGCGTTCAGGGCAGGCAAAGAAGTTCCACGTACAAAAGAGTTCCAGCCAGGCTTACACCGACATCCTGGATTTGGGCCCAAGTCTACCGTGAACATGGGGTTGGGATCAACTGGCGATCGCCTCGCAGGCTGCAGCATTAGCAGCCGGCGGCGGGAGTGGGCCACAGATTGATTTGGCAAAAAAAAAGGAACCAAAGTGACGTCAAACTCTTAGGCAGCTCTGAGTGCCCTCCCTGTCGAAGGCCAGATCCTTTTCAGCAAAGGGACCCCACCCAGAGCACCTCAACAGGGGTCGACTATGCCACGAGAGCAGAGCCACCTCGGCACTTTATGCTCGTTTCGCACCCCTGGACGCTAGACCCAGCAGCATTAAATCTACCGTTAGACTGACCTACCACTGGCACTTTGCCAGAGGCAAGGTCAAGCCAAAGTGGCCCCAGCGGCAGCCCCGACGCAGCCGCTCCCGTCTCCTACGTGCGCAGGAGTGGGCACGTACGACACCGTAGGGCGTGGGCACGTACGACAACGTAGGACGTGCATGCGCGCCGTCGTGGGGGCGGTGTTGCCAGTTGGACTTCCGGGAACTACACCTCGCTTCAGCGGATATCGACCGTCACCTCCAAGCGGAGGAACCGGAACTTACCAAGGCCTCTCAGGCGGGAGGATTCGTTGCTGTTACCGGTTGGACTTCCGGGAGCTACACCTCACTTCAGCGGATATCGACCGTCGACTCCAAGCGGAGGATCCGGAACTTATCAAGGCCTCTCAGGCGGGAGGATTCGTTGCTGTTACCGGTGGACTTCCGGGAACTACACCTCGCTTCAGCGGATATCGACCGTCATCTCCAAGCGGAGGACCCGGAACTTACCAAGGCCTCTCAGGCGGGAGGATTCGTTGCTGTTACCGGTTGGACTTCCGGGAGCTACACCTCGCTTCAGCAGATATCGACCGTCACCTCCAAGCGGAGGACCCGGAACTTACCAAGGCCTCTCAGGCGGGAGGATTCGTGGCTGTTATCAGTTGGACTTCCGGGAACTACACCTCGCTTCGGCGGATATCGATAGTCTCCTCCAAGCGGAGAACCCGGAGCTTACCAAGGCCTCTCAGGCGGGAGGATTCGTTGCTGTTACCGGTTAAACTTCCAGGAACTACACCTCGCTTCGGCAGATATCGACAGTCTCCTCCAAGCGGAGGACCCGGAACTTACCAAGGCCTGTCAGGCGTGAGGATTCGTGGCTGTTACCGGTTGGACTTCCGGGAACTACACCTCGCTTCAGCGGATATCGACAGTCGCCTCCAAGCGGAGGACCCGGAGCTTGCCCAGGCTTCTTAAGCAGGAGGATTTGCGGCCGTTCGACATTCAGGCCATGCATTTGGTAGCGGTTTATCAACAATAAGGCCGAGGGGTTTAACTCCAGAACTTTCATGGGAAGAAGAAAAACATGGCAGGGCTTTTCAGGGCAATATTAGATCTGAGAAAGCTCATCGTTTTCATCAACAAAGGAACGTTTGAAAACGGAGTCGTTGCGTGCCCATCAGGAACGTGCAACAATGATGATGCTGGATGACGTCGGCGGGTCTACAGTGTGCTTACCTCCTCGTGCCAATGAATCCTCACTGCTTTCAGTAACGTAAGGTTCTTCCACCCTGGAAGGACAACACAAATACCGAGCATTGCCTTGCAGGGCTGCATTTGGCCCCAAGGGTATTCACGTAAATCTTGGTGACCTTGGTGGCAGAATCAGGGAAAGGGGGATCCACATTTACCTCGATAACCGGTTCACCACCACGGACTGGTGGTGAACCCAGTGAAGTGTGCGTCCTACAGCCAACAGCGCCTTCACTACCTCAGTGGCGACGTCCGGACGGATCAGGGGTCTGACACGCTTGCCACGACAAGAAGGGCCTTCACCGTCAGCCAAACAGGCCTGAGCCCCGCATGACAGGCCAGTAACCTGGGCAAGAGAGACGTTTTGATTCTACTTGAGTCACGTGGCCTCAACTACAGAAATGGTACCCTGGGCCAGATTCCGTGATTGAGACCCGCTCATGCAGCTTCCGGCAGCCTCAGGCAGTGGGGTCAATCTCCACCGAGCGGGCCTGTCAGGAGCCCTCCTTTGGTGGACAGCAGGGGGACAATGTTTAAGAG